GCACAAGACCAGGCGCACACGACCAGGCACAGTGGCTCACACCTGTAATCCCAGCACTTTGGGAGGCCAAGGCAGGTGGATCACTTGAAGTCAGGAGTTCGAGATCAGCCTGGGCAACATGGCGAAACCCCATCTCTACTAAAATACAAAAATTAGCCATGCGTGGTGGCGTGCCTATAATCCTAGCTACTTGGGAGGCTGAGGCAGGCAAATAACTTGAACCCAGGAGGTGGAGGTTGCAGTAAGGCAAGGTACCACCACTGCCCTCTAGCCTGAGCAACAGAGATTCTGTCTAAAAAAAAAAAAAAAGAGTGAAGGGAGCAAAAGTCCAAGAATAGATTTAACCTCTGCTCCCCAGCAGCCCCACAGAAGAAGGGGTGAATTTAGCAAGTAGTGGGTTAAAATTCAAATTGGCATGAGTGATAACTTTCAAACAAAGACATCAGCTGGGCGTGGTCGCTCATGCCTGTAATCCTAACACTTTGGGAGGCTGAGGCAGGTGGATCATTTGAGCCCAGGAGTTTAAGACCAGCCTGGGAAACATGGTGAAAACCCATCTCTACAAAAATATAAAAATTAGCGGGACATGGTGGCATGCACCGGTAGTCCCAGCTACTCAGGAGGCTGGGGTGAGAGGATCACCTGAGTCTGGCAAGAGGAGTCTGCGGTGAGATGGCACCACTGCACTCCAGCCTGAGCAGCAGAGTGAGACTCTGTCTCAAAACAAAACAACACACAAAAAACAAAGACACGGCTCACTTTCTTGGGGAAATTTTCTTTTGATTAGTCTCACCTGGGGCCAGACCATTAGACACTGAAACCACATAAATCTGTCTTATTTCTTAGTCGCCTGTCACCCTTAATTCCACCCGGGCTCAGGCCTCTTCTTCTAATTTGAGGTTTCTTTGTGAAATGCTTGTCTGCACTAACCAGATGATTCTCTTTCAACTAACCTGGTCACCCAAAAGTCGTTAAGTCATTTAAAACTGGGTTTGCATCTGTGAAAAAGCAAAAGGCAGAAAGCAATTTGGTTCTTTCTCATCTTAAGTGTTTCCCCAGCTCTGCTGTTCTTGTTAATGTTGGCCAGGCTGGTCTCGAACTCCTTACCCCAAGTGATCCACCTGCCTTGGCCTCCCTAAGTGCTGGGATTATAGATGTGAGCCACCATGCCTGACCAAATAGCCATTAAGTCTTAAGCATGACATTTAAACTAAGAGTCCACCTTTCTTTCCTGAAGTAATTTTGTTTCCTAACCAGCAGTACTTGTTGATCCTCATCTTATAATTCTGCCTTATACTGGGACAGGGGTGACCCAGAGACTCTGTGAGATCCATCATTCTCAGTAAGTGTGACTTTGCGGGTATAAAATCTTGCCTTGACAGCAACAGGAAGGAAGTATCCAGGCCTTGCCATACCTGCCTGGGGAGGAGGGTTGGGCATCCACTTAAACTCCTCCAAAGAAGAACTGCTCTGTGCATGAAATGAGCATGGAGAGCCTTTGTCCTGCAGGACATTCCAGCAAGAGGTTTCTCAGGAACACGAATGGGAGTTTACAAAGGTCAGTATCTCAAAAAGACAGATGAACTACTGCCAAACATTCAACACAGGACTCCAAGAAGCCAAGTCATTCTTAACATCTATTTTTTTTCCTCCAGGTCAGAATCAGTTTTGCAAAATAGGGCGATAAACAGAACAACAGGCAAAAGAGAAAATCATTCCCTGTTCTTCCATAATGGCCTAAGGAAGCCGACAATCTGTCTCTCTCACACCACGTAAGTGGAAAGGAACAGAGTCCCATGTGAAGCAACCCCTTTTTCTAGAGGTTTAAGCATAGGTAACGCACAGAATGAAGCTGATCATTAGAAATAGGATCTATTTCACAAAGGGACCCATGTGAAGAAATCAAGTTGACCTTGTATGTTGCCTGAAGACCTTCCACGTTTTTCTATTTTGGAAAACTGACATCAGCCTGCCATAATTACCAGTGTGTACTGGAATTGGTGCCGGATCAACTGTTGGCTGCATTCTCACTGACACTCTGATTTGCCAACACCCTGACCTACTAGGTTGGAAGACTCTGGGGTTCCTGGCACTATCCCCAGGGGAGGTACAGAGTTCCAGAAGTAAAAGTCAGCATATGTTCCCAAGCCTGCTCTCTTATCTTCTCACAGGGAGATTCCAAAGATAATGTCGGTAATGCTTGAGAAATGAAAATGCTTCCCCAAATGAAAATATATTCTAGCTTATTTTAAATAATATAAATGCTGTTCTTTTTCTGTGTTCTCTTAAGATAATTTTATTTTCTAGATTTTTTTTTTTTTTTTTTTTTGAGACAGGGCCTTCCTCTGCTGCTCAGGCCGGAGTACAGTGGCACAGTCACAGCTCACTGCAAGCTCCGCTTCCTGGGCTCAAGCCATCCTCCCACCTCAGCCCCCAGAGAAGCTGGGATGACAGATGTGTGCCACCAGGCCTGGCTAATTTTCGTATCTTTTTTGGTGGAGACTGGGTTTCACCATGTTGCCCAGGTTGGTCTCGAACTCCTGGGCTCAAGCGGTCCGCCCGCCTTGGCCTCCCAAAGTGCTATGATTACAGGCAAGAGCCACTAACTCCAGCCCTTCTTTTAAATTCTTTTTTCTCCTCTAACTTGTTTATTTTTTAAGAGCTGAAATCTTGAACCTCCGATTCCCACCGAGCTTGAGTTATATGTAATCTAAGGGTTTTATCATAACAAACTGGGCCGAAAAAACTCTGATCTCAACCCAGATGCTAATTAAAACCCTACCTGAGTCATGTTGCTACGGTTACTGGGATTTCTCTAAGCCCTGAGATTCTTAAAGGAGTACATTTTAGTTACTTCTCCAAGGCTTAGGGTGGAGTTCCTGGGATTGAGCCATGCTAGTTCCTATAGGGTGTGGGTGTCATTGTGCAATCAAGAGCCCGGGTGGCTTTTGCCTACATCATAACTAACCTTTGCATTGGATTCCACTGTTTGTCTCATTAGAGGCTTTCAATAGCAGGGTGTTATCGAAGTACTATTATCATCTCATTTTAGAGAAGAGACTCCAGACTCTCAGTTTAGAGACCGACTGACTCTTCTAGAGTAGGGACTGGAGACTCAGTCACAGTAAGTGGCTTATGCAAGGTCACTCTATTTGTAAGTGAGAGAGAGGGAATAGGAACTTGGTCTAGTGCCAATATCTGTGCTTTCCACTAATTTACCCAGGACTGAGGCAGGCAGATACAATTTAGATGTTTTACTCCCATGCTCTGCTCAATTTCCATGCTCCTTGATGTCCTATAGGTTCAGGAGGAGCATAGACTTAGGATTCTTGCGGGTATGGCAGGAACCTTAGGCTGGTTACTCTAGCTCTCCATCTCTGCTTTGTCATCTGTAAATTGGGGCTGGCAATTCCTACCTCTTAGGGCTGTTCTGAGGATGAAATGAGTTGTTATGTCTAACTCTTTTAAATCCATGCCTGGCCCATAGTGAGTGCCGTATAAACGGAAGCTCATCTTAGCTGCTGAATCCCTCATTCATTCGGGGAGTTCACGCGGCTGCCAAAGAGTCTGCAATCACCTCAGGATCTGGAAGACGTCTGTTCTGCATGGTGGGCGGCCAATGCAATTCCAGAACAAAGTAGTGGTCATGAGAAAAAAACCCACGTTAGATCCCATCAGTGCCTGAGACGCCTTGATGTTCAAAGTCAAGTGTCCTAACTGCTTCTCTCTGTGGTCAATTTCCTTGTTTCTGACATCAGCCCAGAGGCACATCAGCTGAAACAGAACCACTGGAAATGACATGACTCAAGCAAGTCTGTTCAGAAAGGCTGTAATTTTTTGAAAAACAGTAGGTTTCTCCTTTTCCTAACAGGAATCAGTTTTGTTCTAATCGAAAGAAATTTTTTTCCCCCAGCATTTAAGTCCCATCCACAGCTCAATAGCTTAAAAAAAAAAAGACCATTTATTTTTCTTGAGCCTTTAAAAGGCACTTTAAACTGGTAGGAGATAGCAGGGAAGCAGTAGAGAAAACTGAGTTTCAGCATGCTAACACGAAACTACATTTTTTTTCTTTAAAAACCCATGTCTGAGGGTTCCTAACCATGTGTAAAGCTTCCTATTTTCTGCTTTTGGCCCCAAGACCTAATCACCATTGTGGTAACAGTTTATTGGACACATTTATTTGGCATTAACTGTTTGCTTCCCCAAATCTTTTTTTTTTTTTTTTTTTTGAGAAGGAGTCTCGCTCTGTCTCCCAGACTGGAGTGTAGTGGCGGGATCTCTGCTCACTGCAAGCTCTGCCTCCCAGGTTCACACCATTCTCCTGCCTCAGCCTCCTGAGTAGCTGGGACTACAGGCACCTGCCACTGCGCCCGGCTAATTTTCTTTGTATTTTAAGTAGAGACAGGGTTTCACCGTATTAGCCAGGATGGTCTCGATCTCCTGACCTTGTGATTCGCCCGCCTTGGCCTCCCAAAGTGCTGGGATTACAGGCGTGAGCCACTGTGCCCGGCCTTCCCTCCCCAAATCTTTAAAAAATATTTTAAAATATTTTTTAAATCTCCCTAAATCTTATAGTATAACCTCCTTTTGCCCTCTTTTGCATGTTTAAATTAAATGAAAATATTCAGGACTTCCTGGAAAAAAAGCCTACTGAAGACACTTCAGAGAACTGGGCAATAAAAAGAGGACCAGACTATAAAAATGCAGGCACCAAACAAATGGCAACAGCTTGGTGGCGCTTCTTGGAAAGATTGATTTCAAATCACCAATCCCAAGCAGGGCCCCACATGTAGGTTTGTTTGCTGGATACAAAGAGGCCACAACTCCTGCTCTCCTGCTCTCCGAGGGCTGCACTGGGACCCTGGGGGAAATTTACATAAAGGCACAAGGCCCTTTGGGCAGATTCTGGGGCCCGGGTCTGAAAGCTTTCATGAGGGCAAAGGTTTCTGGAAGAGCCCTTTGCCCTGCAGAGAGAGTCCCAGGCAGACAATGGTACTCACCTCGACTTTGGAGGCGGAGGAGGAGGTGAGAATGTCTCAATCCCACTTCTGTCCTTGGGGAACTCAAAGGCAAAAGAGGCCGATTTGCTCATCCCAGTCCCAACTTTGCTGTTCTGCCCAGAGGAGCCATCTGTGGGGTGGAGACGGTGCCAGGTCGTGGAGTTTGAATGGTCCGTGGGGCCATTTTTGGTCTCTCTTCCCCAGCTGTGACTCAGCAATTCCTGCTCTACCTCCTCTTCTTCCTCTATCCGGCACTGACGACTCCAGGTGCCTGCCTGGAACCTGGGCCGCCTCTGGTCCAAGGCTGAGGTCACAGGCTGGGGACACCTGGATGGGTCACTGAGAGTGACACCGTTGGTCCGGCAGGGAGGAACGGGGTCAGCAGGGCCTCGGGATGGAGGCTGGGGCCCAATGCCGCTGCTGCCAGAGCTCCCATCACTGAGGTGAGCCAGCGGTGACACCGGGGGCCCTCCGGCAGATGGTGACACCGGGGACCCTCCAGGGCTACTCTTGGACAACTTGGGGGGAATGGCGGGCCTCTCCTTGGGCTTGCTCTCCTTGGCACTGTGAGCATGGCTTTCCCTGGAGCTCAGCCCCTGCCTAGCCCAAGTCTCCTCTTCACCCACCTCGGAGTTCTGGCTCCCAGGCCCTGGCGGCCACTGCACCCCCACGGCAGAGTCAGGGCTGCTCAGGTAGATCGTCCGATGGTCCTCTTCCGGGTGGGCCGCCATGACGGTGATGGTGGCTGCCACCTGGGGAGCTGGGTCTGGGCTGTCCTGGCCCCAGCCAGATGCTGTTTTCTGGGCCCAGGCATTACCTGTCCATACCTGGCCCTGGCCTTGACCCTGGCCTTGGCCCTGCGCAGCTGCTGCGTGTTCTGTCTTGGCCTGTGACTTGGAAGGCACCGGAGCTGCCTTCTTCCTCTTGGTACTCTCAGCATAGATGGGTTCAGGCTGTGTAGCCTCCCTGGGGTGGGCCGGGGGCTGGGGCTCCCCCGTCAGCCCAAGGCATCTGCTAGAGGCCACCCCTGGGCAGCCAAGGTCCTGCTGCTTCTCTGGGGCAGGTTCCTTCATGAGGGAGCAGTAATCACTCTCGAGATGGGGGACGAAGGGGTTGCTGGCACCGCTGCCGCTGCCGCTGCCACAGGCGAGGCCGTCAGAAGAAGTGGCAGCCTCCGAGGTGAAGGACGCTTTCTTGGGGCCCAGGCAGGATGGGTGGGCAGTGGGGCCCTGGCTACAGCACTCCTTGGGGAAGCTCGGGCCCCGCTTCTCCTGCTCTGTGGGCCCTGCACACTTCCCCTGCTCCCAGCACGTGGGTGAGCCGTCCCTGCCACTATGCTTGCCCCGGGAGCCTGCAGCCTGGGAGGCAGCCTTGGCAACAGGGCTCCCAGGGCAGCAATCCAGGATGGAGCAGTACTCTCCGCCCTCGCTGTCCCCGGAGGGCGAGCACCTTTGATCATCCTCCGAGGGCAGGGATTCCCGCAGGGGCCCAGGACCCTGATGACAGCCAGATGTGGTCCCAGCAAAGGCAGCCAGTTTCTGGCGGAAGCTCTCCTGGGTGGAGGGCCGGTCTTGGTAAGGAAATGAGGGTTTTTCTTTGTGCCCAGCCTTGTCATCAGGGAAGCTCACTGGATGGAAAGCAATGTTCCTCTCGGCACGGGGCTCAAGGTTGTGCAGGCCAACCATGGTGTAAGCTGGGGGACAGCGAGGGGAGTTGCCCTCGGGGGAGGTAGAGGGACCAGCAGGCTTCTGTACACCTCGGAAGCTGCCCAGGTAGACAACGGGGGCATCCTCCTGCTTCGGGAGGGGAAGCTTGCCGGGCGCTCGTCTCCAGATGACCTACACACAAGCCCAACGCAAAAAGACTTACATTAGAACTTGTCATAGAAAAAAGAGAGAGAGGAAAAGTGAGAGGGAAGGGCAATGATACTGTAGATTGTCCTCTGTAGTGCAGTGCAGGGGCGCTGGGGCCGGGGACTCAGTGTACGCCCACCTTCTGATCTCCCCACGGCCCTGTGATCATTGCTGGGGCACCCGCTGAGCCGTTTGTCTTCCCAGACACTGAGCTGTGCTTCCCACCCATGGATTGTAATGCTTTTGGCTTAAGGCTGTGAAGTAGGAAAAGAAGAATATAACTCTGAAAAAGAACACTTTGCCTTCTTCCTCCCTTGCAACTTCTCTCACTGGGTGAGAGAAGTTGTTCCACAGGACTGGAAAATGGAGCTCGGGGTTTTGTTTAATTTTTGCTTTGAGTTTGTGAGTTTTTTGATAACCCAATCACAGCGCATGCCTGAAGAAATCGAAGTCGTTAAGTGTTTTGAAAACACACGGGACACACTGGAGCCAGGCGCCGTGGCTCACACCTGTAATCCCAGTACTATGGGAGGCTGAGGAGGGCAGATTGCTTGAGCCCAGGAGTTCAACACGAGCCTGGGCAACATGGCAAAATCCCATCTCTACAAAAAAAATTACAAAACCTTGCTGGGCGTGGTGGTGTGTGCCTGTAGTCCCAGCTACTTTGGAGGCTGAGGTGGAAGGATGGCTTGAACCCAGGAGGCGGAGGTTGCAGTGACCCAAATCACCCCACCACATTCCAGCCTGGGCGACTGAGCCAGATGCTGTCTCAAAAAAAAAAAAAAAAAAGAAACACATTGGGTGGGTGGGTGTGGGCAGAACAGGAGAGTGATGGGTGGTTTCTGAACCGGATCAGGGTGAGGGGTGGTTTCTGAACCGGATCAGGGTGAGGGGTGGCTTCTGAACCGGATCAGGGTGAGGGGTGGCTTCTGAATTGGATCTGGGCTTCCTCGCTTCTTTCTGTGCTTTGCTTCCAACTATGCCAGAGGTCCTCTTTCTCCCACCTACAGCAGTGACCTCAGCCTGAGCCTGTGTGAGTGGTTGGACTCGTTGGGCTATGAGACAAATATATGGACTGGTCAATATCACTCCTGAAGTCACCGTTTCCTCCTCCTTCTGATCTAAACTCCTCCCTTACCCCCACTTTTAGAAGCAGCCTCAAAGCAGGGCCTGCCTCTGGCTTCTTTCCCAGGTGGTTCTGAGCTTAAAGAGTCCCTGGCTCAGGTTGGTGAAGGCTGAAGGTATTGAGAATGGCCTGGAGAATGGGTGTAATCAGTTTAGGAAAAAACAGAGCAGCCCGGAAGGGGACATCAAGTTCATCGCAACCAAAGGAAATGCCTTTCCTTAATGAAGCCTCCCCTGATTTAGAATTGACGTTAGCTTTCATATATACTCACACAGCCTTCCTGATCTACTCGCCATATTGGTCAAGAAAACAAGAACAGGCAGAGAGGTCAAACAGGTAGCAAGCAGTTCCTAGAACATGTCTTAGCCACATAGCTTCCTAAACGTGTCTAAAGACAGCAGATGCCAGCAGCCCTGGGTTATGTGCCCTCTGACTTTGTAAAGGTTACCTGTGGAATGAGCAGAATGGTTTGGCCTCTAGGGTGTAACTGTTTTTAGTGACCCTAGAAAAAAAACTGGTAAAATCCAAGCTTCAAAATTGGAAACAGGAGTACTGGCTGGGTATTAGATAATATTAAGGAATTACTGCTAATATTTCGAAGTGTGGAGCCAGGTATGATGGCTTACGCCTATAATCCCAGCACTATGGGAGGCTGAGGCAGATGGATTACTTGAGCCTAGGAGTTCGAGACCAGGAATTTAAGACCAGCCTGGGCAACATAGTAAGATCTGATCTCCACCAAAAAAAAAAAAAAGTAACCAAGCATGGTGGCATGCACCTCTAGTCTCAGCTTCCTAGGAGGCTGAGGCAGGAGAATCACTTGAGCCTGGGAGGCGGAGGTTGCAGTGAGCCAAGATCTCAATGCTGCACTCCAGCCTGAGCAACAGTGAGACTGTCTCAACAAAATAATAATAATAAAATAAAAATTAAAAACTAAAAAAACAGGCCAGGTGTGGCAGCTCACACCTGTAATCTCAACACTTTGGGAGTCCGAGGTGGGTGGATCACTTGAGGTCAGGAGTTAGACACCAGTCTAACCAACTAACCAATGTGGTGAAACCTCGTCTCTACTAAAAATACAAAAATTAGTTGGGCATGGAGGTATGCGCCTATAGCCCCAGTTGCTTGGGAGGGTGAGGCAGGAGAATCGCTTGAACCCTAGAGGTGGAAGGTGCAGTGAGCTGAGATCACATCACTGCATTCCAACCTGGGTGACAGAAAAAAAAATTAGTGGTGCCTCACGTCTATAATCACAGCACTTTGGGAGGCCGAGGTGGGCAGATCACGAGGTCAAGAGATCGAGGCCAACATGGTGAAACTTATCTCTACTAAAAACACAAAAATTAGCAGGGCATGGTGGCAGGCGCCTGTAATCCCAGCTACTCAGGAGGCTGAGGCAGGAGAATCACTTGAACTAGGGAGTCGGAAGTTGCAGTGAGCAGAGATCGTGCCACTACACTCCAGCCTGGGTGACAGAGCAAGACTCCATCTCAAAAAAAAAAAAAAAAAAAAAAAAATTAAGTGTGATGATGGTATTGTGGTTATGTTTTTCATAAAGACTTTATCTTTGAAAGGTATGTATTGAAATGATGTGATATCTGGGGTTTGCTTTAAAATCATAAGGAAGAGGGATCAGTGCCGGGAGGAGGTGAAATGAGATTGGTCATGAGTTGATGGTTGCTGAAGTTCATATTGAAGGGTATTGGGTGCATGTGATTCACTTTGCAATTACTGCTACTTGTGTATATATTTAAAATGATCAATTAAGAAAATTTAAAACTTTTTTTAAAAAGCTTCATTTTTTGTCTGCCCTACACAGTCTGCAAATCACAGGAGGAAATTCTGGGGGACTAGATTAGCCTAAAGGGACAGAGAGAAAGGAGAGCAGCTACAGCGAATCCCAGGCAAAAGCCATCTCAGGGCAAGCTGACAGGAAGCCATCCTGCAGGTTTCTTGCTGGAACAGCCCTCCCTGGCTGCCAGCCAGTCACCAAGCGTTCAAACAGGAGCAGCCCCTGTAAAAATACCACGAGTGTTAGTCAGCCTCACCTGCGAGACTTCGGCACTCAGGCTGGCCTCTGTCCACACATCAGAGGCCTCGGAGCTCATCATGGTGGGCTTCACGGCAATTGTGGGCTTGGAGTAAGGTGAGCTGTTCACACCTTCATCTTCCAGGCGGCAGTTCTCAGGCCTGGGAGGCAGGCGCGGTGGAGGGGGCAGGCTGCCCGCTCTGGGCTGGGGAGGGCCGGCCACCAGCTGGTGGTCGCTCCGCAGGCAGAAGCAGTTCTTGCAGGACCCGGGCTTCCAAATGTGCTCCACAAAGTCACTGCACGCAGACATTTTCAGGCTCTCGGGTTTCAGGCGGAGGGTCTGGTGCATCTTGAGCCGACAGGGTGCTGGTTCATCTTGCGCCCGGCTCTCTGGTGTGGTCTTGCGGGATTCAGAGGTGGGTCACAGAGTGGCTTCCTAGAAAGGCAGGACACTTTCCTGATTAGAGATTTGCCATGCCAGACAATGGGTGCACTATCGGTTACAATCTCATTATTTGATCAGGGAGGAGAAGGAGGAGAAAAAGGTAAAGATTAGGATCCCGTTTATTTTGTGGCCCTTACCCATCTGTCACAAGGCTCTTAGACATTCTCTGGTGGTGTGGCCTTATCAGAGGCTGTAAAAACTAAACACAGCCTTGTTGCTTTAAAAGAGTACATAAAAGACATTTCAGTCCCCTAAAATCCTGGGTGAGGAGTCCCCTAACATCCTTGGAGGTTTGGGGCAGTTATGGGAAGAAATCACATAGGGTTTAAGATGAGAAGCCGGTACCTCATCCATGTATTCCCTGCCACCGGGGGCCTAGAGTCTGGGACGCTGACCCAGAGAAACAAGAACTATCAAGTAGTACAACAAATTAAAAAAAAATGGCTTTTGGAAAATAACCCACAATTTTTGAACAAGAACTGTGTGAGAGGGGAGGCAGGTCTAGGCCCTGAAATGTGCATTGTATTCCAGACTTCCAACCAGGAGGAGATAGGAAAGGTTGGGAAAGGGGAGAAGTGGGGTGCTGCCCTGTCCTCCAGACCTTGTGGAGAGGTCTGGCATCTTGAGAAATATCCCTTGCTTAATATACATTACTTGACCCTGTGCTGCTGAGGTCCACAATGCTGGGTGCTATAGGCCAAAGGAGCAAACCAATAGCAAGACAAACTCATGGTCAAAGGTGACTGGATAGATGATAAGAGAGAGAAGAGATTAACGAAGAGCTATTGCCCAGTGATGGCTCTGGAGAGAAGGCAATTGGCTTGCTCAAAGAGTTCATTGCTTCTGAGAGTAAAACTGCAAGTGACAGTTTACACCATGGTCCCTTGTAAATCCACCATTGAGAAGGAGCTCAAAGGGTTGCAGTCATTAACCGATTACCTTGAAATCATTCCATCAGGTAGCTGTTGTCCCCATTTTACAGGTGAGGAAACTATGACAAAAACAAGAACTTGCACCAGCCCATAGACACAGAGAGTTTGCCTGTTCTGGAAACAGAAGCCAACTTTGCAGGCGACTCCTCACTGCAGTGGTGATCTGCGCGTTGCTCCTGGCTCTTCTTAGCCTATTTAAAATGAACTGACTTCCCATAAGGAGAATGTTCAAGAGAAAAATCTTCCTTAAGAACATAAGTTAAACAGGTTCTCATTATATAGGGAGCATTTTGCCTTAGGGTTTGCTCTCCACTTTCCTCCCATAAGGATCTGCCTGAAGTTTGATAATCTCTAAACTGTCAACAGGACTAACCAAGTGGAATGAGCCTGGTAACCCCAAAATCATTCCAGAGTGTTTGCGGGAAGTGCTCTCTCTTATCTCCACGCTCACAGACAGGGGCGTTCATTCAACAAGTGCTGAAGCTATATGTGCCTCTTTCCCCTCCAAAGTGAAAAATGGGTTGGGGCCGGGCGTGGCGGCTCACGCCTGTAATCCCAGCACTTTGGGAGGCCAAGGTGGGTGGATCACCTGAGGTCAGGGGTTCGAGACCAGCCTGACCTACATGGAGAAACCCCATCTCTACTAAAAATGCTGGGCGTGGTGGTGCATGCCTGTAATCTCAGCTACTCGGGAGGTTGAGGCAGGAGAATCGAGGCAGGAGAATCGCTTGAACTCAGGAGGCAGAGGTCGCGGTGAGCCAAGATTGCGCCACTGCACTCCAACCTGGACAACAAGAGTGAAATCTCTTTCCCAAAAAAAAAAAAAAAAAATGGGTTGGAAGTGGTGGCTCACACCTATAATCCCACCACTTTGGGAGGCCGAGGCAGGAGGATCGCTTGAGCCCAGGAGTTTGAGACCAGCCTGGGCAACACAGAGATACCCTGTCTTTACAAAAATAATAATTATAAAAAAAATTATCCAGATGTTGGAGTGCATGCCTATGGTCCCAGTTACTTGGGAGACTGAAGTAGGAGGATTGCCTGAGCCCAGAAGGTCAAGGCTGCAGTGAGCCCTGATCACACCACTGTACTCTGGCCTGGGTGACAAGAGTGAGACCCTGTCTAAAAAACAAAACAAAACAAAAGTTAACAATAAAGCCCATTGCATCTTTACACTAAATAAATCATCTGAAATAAAAGAAAAGTATCTTTTAGCAATCATCGTTAGGGTCTCACAGGTCCTTTTCTTTAAGAAGACTGTTGGCTAGGTTCTTCTCCTCCTCCAAATACACCCAAGTAGCAGGTTCCTTCTTTGCCAAGTTCTCCAGAAGAGGTCACTGGGCTTCAACACGCTGAGGAAACAGCCAGGTTTTATAATCTCAGGCCACAGAGAACTATAGGCTGGTTGCTAAGTTTTGGGAGGGGGAAAAAGCAGAGGAAGTATTCTGGCCTTCAGGAACAGGCAGTAGGTTCCTTCCTGGGAAGCTGATGGGTGAAGACTGCCTACACCTTCTAGGCCACAGAAAGGACACTGTCCAGCCCACTTCCACTGCAGGCAGAGGCTCCCATGCCTGCTCCATGGGATGGAGGAAGACAGCTTGGAAACCAGCCCTGTGTGAGCTCTGCAAGTTCCCACAGCTCTTCCTGACAGGGGGCTATCTGAGGAGATGGGGGCCCAACCACTTCCTCAGGGGCTACCGCAGATTCACAAAGCAGCAGTTTTGCTTGGTGACATGTTGCCTTCTCAACAGGCAAGTAAGAACACAAACTTGTTATTGGGGAAGGGGCGACATTGGTACCACAGGCCCTACTTCCTAAGATTCCCCAACCTTTGCACAGCCCTGGGAGTGTGGAAGGATCTGGATTGCTAGCATGGGGGAAGTTTCCTTGAGAATGTCTCACCAGTTTACGAGCACTCTTCGCTCTGAAATTTCAGAGCATCCTCAGCTCTGAAATTCTTGGATGTTTAGACACGCAACTTTCATCACACGGCTGCCGGGGATGGACGGCTGCCGGGGATGGACGCAAAGATTTTTAAAGGGAAGTCATTGAATAAGAAGAGAACAAACGAAGCCCTGGGCTTCCCACTGTCATTGACTCACTGCATCCTGTTAAAACTGGTTTCTCAGTCACAGCAAACAGAATTTACCACCGCATGCAGCCAAAAAAAAAAAAAGGCTGTTTTCCCATTGCACTTCTGTGCTTGCTTGGAATTATCTCCTATTTGTTTTAAGTAAAAGATGGTGAGAAACACAAGTGGCACGAAGCCTTGCCTCGCCTTGCCTCGCCTTGCCTGGTGCAGCAGTGCCAGCTCTCCACAGCATGGGGAAGGCACTTCCCAGCCCACATTCCTTACCTCTGAGGGGAGGCGGCCCCCAGAATTATGCAAATCCCCCCATTTCAGTAGGAGGCTGCAGTGTCAGATTAGAAAAAAGAGCTCAGCATTCTTTCTGATCCAAGTCATGAAAAAAATGTCTGCCTCTGCAAACTTCTGCACTAGATTTGTGGCTACAGTTTGCAAGACTGAAGCTGTCAGATACACTCCCACCCCATTTCAAAAAAGAATCTGAAGAATCAAGGTGGCCAGATCTATAAGATTAAATATTTTGGCCCAAAATACCCCTTCAGACTTACATCAGAAGTTGCTTGTGCCTTATCCTGAAGTGACAGAATTCCAGAAAACATTCACCGAAATTTTTTTTTCTACATTTACAGTGAAATGAATGCAACACCAGAAACAGGAAAGAAATGTGTGTGGAAAGTGTCTGAACTTCAGCACACTCCACTGGCCAGGGCTGACCAGGCAGAAAGGAGAAAGTGACAACTTTACCACCCGCTAGCCCCCTGCCTCCCCACTCACACAGAGGGTAAATGATGATATTCACCCAACTTTTCCTTTTCTTTTTTCTTCCTCCGGTGCTGTGGAATCTAATCTCAGAGGGAGGAATGCGGTGTTGCACCCACTACAGTCGAAACCAACCAGACCTCAGGAGAGCAAAATAACTGCGGAATTCCCTAGGGCTTCCTGTCAAATTTCCTTCTCAGAAAGGGAAGGGGGAGAGAAGTTGTTCAGGATAGTTCAGGCCAGTGATCAGGAAAGCCTTCTGAACCTGACTCCGGACTGAATGCATCGCAAAACTCGTCGTCCCTAGACCATTGGGTTTTGCTGTCGGCTCTGCAAAAACATGTGCAGGGTGAGCTTACTAGAGAGAAACGCACACACCGTGAGCTGGCGCTCTCCGCTGCGAATGCCCGGCCGCCTCCATGCCCAGCAGAGGATTCTGCGTTCTAAGTGTGTGTGTCCCCGGATACCAGCAAAGGTTAAGAACGTGCTCACAGCATGCGTTTCAGAGGGCTCAGCCAGGGCTTGGGGGAAAGGGCATCATCTCGTTGCCTCTGGAGCCCCGCTGCTGCATACCTGGGAGCTACCCTGGACCCCCAAACCATCCCCCCGGGTCCTGGTCCCAGCAGCCAGGCGGCCTTCCGTCTCCGCCCCTTGACAATACTCTATCGGTGGAAAGCAGTCCTCAAAGCGCTTCAGTCTCCCGCCGCAAACAGAGCAGCGAGACCAGAGAAACCATCCTAACAGTCGGTCCTCCCTCCTGGAACTCGTAGGAAAGTTTCCCCGTTTTAAAGAGCGCGATTCTCGAATGGATCGAAAACACCCTCCAGCTCCTCGGTCCTCCCGGCCGGGCGCCTCCCTGCACCTCGGGCACCACCCCGGGCTCACGCGGCCCCGGCGCTACCCACTCCCCGAGCGGCCGCCTGTCACCCCAGGGGTCGCCTGCTCGGCGATCGCAGCGCCCCTCCAAAGCTCCCCTCTGCGACCACGCTCGCCAGACAAAAAGAGGCCGAATTTCGAGAGCGCGTCGCGGGCTCACCTCGGGGCTGCGCTTCCTCTGCCCCTCCGTCGGTCTCCAAGCCGCCCGCCGCCCGGCCGGAGCATTGTTCGCTGAAGGTCTGCGCGCGGTGCGTGCCCGGCCGCTGGCGGGTGGCGTCTGCCTGGGCCCGGCGGCCGGGTGGCAGCTGCGAGCTCGGCTCCGCCCCCTCCGCCTCCGGTGACGCCGCCCGCCCCGGCTCTCGCCGCACCTCCGCAGTCCCTGCCGCCGCCCGGCCCCGCCAGGACCGCGCGCCCCGCCGCCCGGCTCGCGCCTGCCGCTTCCACCCAGCGGGCTCCTACCCCCAGGGCCCCGACTCCTTCAAAGTCTCCACGCCCCGGGCCTCCCGGTCTTGCCCACGCTCCCGCCCCCGACCGCCAGGCTCCGCCCCTAGCCCCAGACTTGGTGCTGGCTGACCCCCGAGCTCAGCACCCGTTTGCACCCGCTCCTCAGTGGGGACCCTGCACAGCCCTGCAGAGGCCAGCTCTAGCGTTCCAATCCTCCTTTGGCCACCATGCATGTATAGGTGCCCGGCATCGCTTCATTCAGCCGGCCCTGCGGGACCCTGGGAAGAGAGGGAGAAGGAAGGGGAAACGAGGAAGTGAGGGGTCGGGAGCGGAATACCAGGTCAGGGTCCGAGGCGGGCTCTGAAAGCCACGTGAGCACAGCGAGCCTCAGCTCCCCCTACCCCTGGGAAGAGGGTGGCGCTGGAGGGAGCAGGGCTGGGAGTCCTGGTGGCGGGTTCCAGGTTCCGCTCAGTCCCTGGACTGCAGGCCTCTGCCAAATTGTTTGACCTCTTTGAACTTTAGTTTTCTGGATGTAGAATGCAAGCGTTGCACTGCAGGGAGCTGGCCTTCTACCATGCCGGGACATCCAAGTCTTCCGCAGCCCAATAATACACCTGTGTTTACACCGTTTCAGTAAGTGAGTCATTCACTGAGATAGAACGAGTTCGAGATAGTCCTTGAGCTAAAAAATCTTTTAACTGGGAGTATAATAGCTTAAGACCCAGTCAGTCCTGTAGCTTGACCTGGGTGTTTACTCGGGGAGCCAGGGCTACGGTCACCTCCTAGGGCCATGCCAGGTGGGTAGAATTCAGTGAAATGGAACAGGAAGAGGACCCTACCTCCCCCAAAAAATGCAACACCAGCGGCTTCTCTCGCCCTTTCCCCCCTCCCCAGAAAGGCAGTTTATTGTGACTCTAATGAAGGTCCTCTGCCGGTCAGCCCGCGAGCCCCTACCTGCTGAGAGGAGGAAGATGGGCCCCCACCCCCACCCCTAGATCCCTGGCTCTCCTCTTTGCTGCTGTGGGTGTGGACAGAGAGGGAAGATGTGTATTTGAGGTTTGGCTTCTGCGTGAGGAAAGGGAAAAAAGGATCCAGGGAATGCTTCCTCATGTTCCAGTGACACCCATTCCTCCTAAGAGGATAGAATCTGGGGGAAGCTGTAGAGGGATGGGAATGCAATAGACATTCCTTAAGGACCTACCCAGCGCTAAGCAACCCTATGAGGAGAGCATCATTATCCCCATTCTACAGATAGGAAAACTGAGGCTCAGGAGGCCGCACAATTTGCCAGGGTTCCTCAGTTGAAAAGTAGTAGTACTAAGATAGGAACCAAAGGCTGTCTGGCTTTGCTGGTAGGCAAGTCTACTCTGCCACTCCGCCCTCGCCAAGTGCAGGTAGTCCAGCCCTATTCTTCTCTCTTCTTAAGTGAAGAGAAATCATTTGGACAAATACTGGCCGGGCGCGGTGGCTCACACCTGTAATCCCAGCACTTTGGGAGGCCAAGGCGGGCAGATCACCTGAGGTCAGGAGTTCAAGACTAGCCTGGGCAACATGGTGAAACCCCCATCTCTACTAAAAATACAAAAATTAGTCTAGTGTGGTGGTGAGTGCCTGTAATCCTGGCTATTCGGGAGGCTGAGCCAGGAGACTCGCTTGAACCCAGGAGGTGGAGGTTGCAATGAGCCGAGATCACGCCACTACACTCCAGCTTGGGTGACAGAGCAAGATCCTGTCTTTGGTTACACTTCATCAGCATCTGATAGAGCTGAAGGATCCAGACCCTACCAAGACTCAAGAGGGGAAGGTGTTGATAAACAGGTAGGTACAAAGTGGTCTGCACTGGAGAAATACAAAAGTGGCTTCAGAAAGTGTGCAATTCATTTACACTGGGAGAGGGCAAACTAAGATGTTTGAGAAGTTCCTGGTTCTCGGGATTCAGGCTAAATGTTTCACTTCTTTCTCTGTAAGAGAGACACTGACCTCACAGAATAAAGGCCATGCTGAATACGTAAAAGAGGCACTTACTTTTGCACTTTATTTTCTTCTCTTTACCCAATTTATTCTTTTTTTTTTTTTTTTTTTTTGAGATGGAGTTTCACTCTTTCGATCATGCTGGAGTGAAGTGGCAAGATCTTGGCTCACTGCAGCCTCCACTCCCCGGGTTCAAGCCATTCTCCTGCCTCAACCTCCTGAGTAGCTGGGATTACAGGCGCCCACCACCATGCCTTGCTAATTTTTCTGTTTTTAGTACAGACAGGGTTTCACCATGTTGGCCGGGCTGGTCTTGAACTCCTAACCTCAAGTGATCTGCCTGCCTCAGCCTCCCAAAGTGCTAGGATTACAAGTGTGAGCCACCGTGCCCGGCCTCGGATTTATTCTTAATATACGAACAGGCTAGAGAGGATAATTATAAGAAGAGAAAGCCATACTGTGGCAAGACTTGTAGTTCTGTGGCATGGGGCAGTACTTGAAGGGTTAATTCACTGTGTCTACAAAATAAACTCTGTTCTCAAGTGGTTTGCTGTGCTCACACAAAACAAATGCATTATACTATAGTTGCTGACATATAATGTGCATCTTCTTAAAAGCCAGCAACATGGCCATAGAGACGGCTTCATCTTGCCTAATGAAAAGAATCAAAAAACACTTCAAAGGAGCCACTAAGATGTACATAAAATACCCATACTCTTACGCAGTGCTCTACCAGTGAGTGTTAAGTATATGATATCCTCAGTCAAGCTACGGTAAGCTCATGCATTTTCATAAACAATTCTTGCTTGAACTTCCAAACTGTAGCCTGCAATGCCGTGTAATTTGTGTAGACACAGCATTCTGCTTCTAGCTACTTATCAGCCCATTTTTATGACACTTTTAACTGCATGGCGTGGGCTCCTTGATACAGACCAGACCTTGAAGAAGAGCAATTCCCTGTCAGCATTTTAGTCCAGCAGCACCATTCTGTACAAGAGCAGTTGTATTTTAGGAAATTGGGACAAGAGGTTAAGGGTGGGAGTGCTTTGGGGCAAGTACAGTAAGGTAGTTTGGAATTAGGCAAAATGGCAGGATTAGGAAGGGCATGCCATTACATTATACTGCAAAAATACAAGCTGGGGTTTTCGAGAGGGGTCAGGGAGTATGAAGATCGAGCCGAAGAAATCCCACACATGTTATCTCCCCAGCCAGAGAATACGTCTCAAATAATAGAGACGTGCATCTTACCTAAAAGTGAGAAAGATGTTCGGTTTTCTAAATGAATATGTATTGAGTACCTTCTACTTATAAGCACTGCATGAGGTCCTATTGGGAAAAGAAAGACAAGTAAGAGCCAAAAAAAATAAGCTCTATGAGAGGAAGATAAGCCGGGGCAGTGGGGGTTCAAGGGAGAAACAGACAGAAGAAACACAGAAACTGACTTTACAGAGGAGGGGAGCTTTAGAAGATGAGAACGATTTCAATCTGTGGATGATGGGGACTTTCCAGACTGAGACAATGGTATCTGCAAAGGAATGGACGTGGGAGAGGCGGAAGACTTTTCAGAGGTTTTGCATTCTAGCCTGGCTGGATCATGGTTATTGGAGACAGGCCTGGAAACGGAGTGTGGCACTAGAAGAGAAGAACTTGGTTTCCAGGTGAGCCATCAAGAAAGTGTTGACATTTCCGAGCAGGAGAATGACATCACAGAGGCAGTTTTTCATTAGCTTTCTCTGGATCTTGTATCCCAGATGGATTAGGAAGTGGGAGAAGAGATTGGAGACAAGGAGTCTGGCTTAGCATTCCTATCCCTGGTCCAGATGGCAGTTGATGTGTTTTGATAAGGAACATGGCAAGGGAAACAGAAAGAATGGATCGTGTATGTGCTTTTGAGAGACATGAAGAGGGAGAAATGGGGATTGGTTACTTCACAGATTCACTATGAGCAATAATCTATTAACGAACAATGGCTTACATTATGGAGCACTTACTCAGCATCAGGCCCTGTGTGCTCAATGATGTACCTGGCTTTTCTCATGTAAGCCTCGCAGAAACACTGGGGTAGGTGCTATTACTGAGGGAGAGGAAGGAATCAAAGGCGACCAGTAGAATTTTAACCCCTAGAGACCAGTGGCACAATGGTATCATTCTTACAAACAGGAAAGTCACAGAATTCAGTTTGTGGTCTCTCGGGTTGGAAGTGAGTAGCCACCATTTGGTGAATGAAGTCGTCCTGCCAGAGTGGTGTTTGGAGCCCCCAGAACAAATGAAGGAGTTGGAGGAGTATTGTGAAGAAGGAGCAAAAGCGATAGGAAGAGGCGAAGAATTGGGGGACCCAGGAATGTAGAAGAATATAGAATATAGGAATATAAAAGAGGCCATGAGAAAAAAAAAAAAAAAAAAAAAGAAGCATGGCCTCTTCGCTTCCAGACTTTTAAAATGCAGAGCAGTCTAAAGAGAGATCTCTTGGGGAGGACAAAAAGGAAAGAGATGCTATCGCAGGAATTCCACCTTCCAGTTAATTGCACGAGCCAGGGAGTGTCTGAGACAAGCTTAAGCTCTTAGTGACTTTGTTTATAGCAGCAGGAGGTTCCAAAGGACCCCACGGAAGAAAAGAATTAGATGGGAGGACAAATAGAATGGATAAGGTAAGCTTGATAGGGATGCCGATACAAAAAAGTATTTTGGCCAGGTGCCGTGGTTCATGTCTGGAATCCCAGCACTTTGGGAGGCCAAGGTGGGAGGGTTGCTTGAGCTCAGGAGTTCAAGACCAGCCTGGCCAACAAGGTGAGACCCTGTCTCTATTAAATTAAAAAATTAGCCAGGCATGGTGGCGTGTGCCTGTAGTCCCAGCTATTCAGGAGGCTGAGGCAGGAGAGTTGCTTGAGCCTGGGAGGTTGAGGCTGCAGTGAGCTATGATT